CAAGGGAACTGACAACATTAATCTGGATCTGGTGTTAACTACATTTGTCACACGAGTCAGAACAGTGCCCTTCTGTTCCTGGCACTCCCCACCGGCACGTGCGGCACAAAGCAGGGCTTAAACCAGTGCACACCATGAAATAGGAGCGTTCTCCTTTTGTGTCTTGATTTACGTGGCCAACTAATGTTTGGGTACAAGCGAGGCTTTGAAGTCCTGTGAGGAAATTCAGAGTTGCTTCTGTGTGCAAGGCAGACAGCTGGAGTCATTTATTGCTGCCTTTCCTACTTTTCATAGTGACTCTGAGACCTCCTCAATTAGTTTTAAAACAAAGCTGTGATATGAGCTTTTCATAGTTTTCCTCATCACAGAGGCAACTTTTTATTAAAAACAGTTTAAACTCAATATGAGAAAAAGGATATCTTTACAAAGCAGTTATTAAAAGACAAGTTTTATAGATTCAAATTAAATTGGTTTTATTTCACTTAAAAAGAGTTAAAAATCATACACACACACATGTAAAATGCTTAGAGGAAATGGTTATGCACTGTTGAAAACTTGCATCACTTCACATGTGCCCAAAAAGCAAATTGCCTTGTATATTTCTCTACTATCTAATTTACTGGGAAGGAGGTTATTGGTTAAGACACCAGAGTTTTAAGGTGACGTTCTGTAAATGAAAATTTATAAAACAAAAATCTTAATCAATGTTTATAATAAGAAAAAAAAAAACTACATTTTCCTTGAACACCTGCATGTTAGCAGTAAAAATTTATTTTCTTTTGACACACAAAATTGTTGCAAAATATTTTCTACTTACTACATTAAAACGAATATATCAAAAATTAACTACTGATGAAAACAGTGAAAAATACCACTGTATGTTGAGAATTCAGACCTAAATAATGCAATTCATTGTTTTCATACAAATATTACTTTCTTTCCAGTACTTATGCAATTTTGATAATAAAAACTGATAGTTCAACAAAAAGAGTTAACTAACCTACAACATGTAATATTGCTATAATCAGTTGTTACTTAATGTTTACACATGTCAATTTGTAGGTGAAATTTTCAAACCTCATAATTTGGAAACTACTCTAAGTTCTCTTTGGTTAATGTTTTTATGTTGTAAAATAGCTAACTTTTTGTTCCAACATGGTAACAGTGGGATCCGACTTTCTGATAGTGACCTACCAGTGCACCATCTGCGTTTTACAAAAGGTAGCAGGATAAAGTGCTAAAAAGATTTTTTAGCATATGGAACCAAAGGCATCACCCAAAGGTCATCTAAAGGTTAGGAAAAAATATAATCATACTTCTAGAAAGTGCAACTAGAATGTAAATGCAATCCTGATTTAAAACCAATTTTAGAGTTTGAGATATAGATGCATGTATAAATGCTTTATTTCAAGAAAATTCCATTTTAAAAAATCCCACTTGAACTGGGAGATATACATTTGTTTTTTCCACAAACAGCAGCTTTACAAACAGATATAAGTGTAACAGTTTCTATTAGAACATAGAATTCATGTAAGGCCTTTTGGATTATCTTCCCATAGGAGAGAGAAATTAGAATAATTGGCTTTACTAAAAATTCAGATATAGAGGGAAAGGGGAGATTTTGGCTATTGTGCCATTTCTTTCTGGTACCTCATAGTCCCTAAGTCCAGACCAGATCCATCTAGATCAGAAACTGATAAACTGTAGCCACCAGGCCAAATCCAGTCCACTACCTGAATTTTGTAAATAAAGTTTTATTGGAACACAGACATACCCATTCATTAGGTATTGTCTATGTCAATACTAGCAGAGCTGGATAGTTATAGCAGAGAACATCTGGCTTATAAAGTCATAAAGTCTAAAATACGTATCTTCCAGCCCTTTATAGAAAAATTTGCTAATCCCTGGTCTAGTTTATCATTGTATAATGCAAACCACTTGTGTAATTTAAATTAATAGGAACTCTGGTAGCATAGTGCCTAAGGCACTTGACTGCTAACCAGAAGGCTGGCGGTTCAAACCCACCAGCCACTCCTCGGAAGGAAGGTTGGGCAATCCT